TACACACCGCTGCCAGGGTGCACATTCTCCTGAGAGCATCCATCAGGCTGCAAACTCAGCCTTCTTTTCTTTGTTTAGTTCCCACATTAGCATGTAATGAGCTATTTGGCACGATGTTCGAGCCTAGAAAGTGCAAGTCCCGGGGCATGAGAGTGGTTGGCACAGAGCAGCTCACCTCCGTGTGCCCGAAGAACAGGGCCTTTACCCGTTTTCAGCTCCGATTGTTCGCGTTCTCTTGTTCTTTACATTGAGCATCCTTGTCCACATTTTTTTCTCCCCCTTTATTTAAAAAAAAAATTTTTTTTTTTAAATTGATTTCAGAGAGGAAGGGAGAAAGAGGTAGATAGACACATCAATGATGAGAGAGACTCATTGATCAGCTGCCTCCTGCACACCCCACCCTGGGGATCGAGCCTGTAACCCCGGCATGTACCCTGACCGGGAATGGAACCGTGACCTCATGGTTCCCAGGTCGAGGCTCAGTCACTGAACCATGCCAGTCGGGCAGTTTCCACATTTTAAGAAAAACGCTAGCCCTAACCGGTTTGGCTCAGTGGATAGAGCGTCTGCCTGCGGACTGAAGGGTCCCGGGTTCGATTCCGGTCAAGGGCATGTACCTTGGTTGCGGGCACATCCCCAGGAGGGGGTGTGCAAGAGGCAGCTGATCGATGTTTCTCTCTCATCGATGTTTCTAACCCTCTATCCCTCTCCCTTCCTCTCTGTAAAAAATCAATAAAATATAAAAAAAAAAAAAGAAAAAGAAAAACGCTAGAGGGTTTGAGAAGCAAACCTGGAGCCCACCTGCCTTTGCGGAAAAGCTTCCCGTAGTTAAGGGAACCACGTGCTGACTGCGGGACACTTGCAAGCTCGCTGCCTTCGCCAGGCAGAATCTTGCCACTGTGGCCGACAGAGGCGAAAACTCGAATTGTTGCGATGAATGCCCAGGAGGCTTCTTCTGGTTGCACGTGGTTGAACTGGGCCGCGAAGCACAGGAAGTCCGGGGCTGGATTCCATTGATGCTGAGCTGATGTTAGGGCAGTGGTACTCACACTTCAGCGTACCTGAGTCTCCCGGGGTTCTCCCGAAAATGCAAATCCTGGTTGAGAAGGTTGGGACAGAGCCCAAGAGCATGGGTTTCCAGCATTCTCAGTGATGCTGACGCTGCGGTGCTGACCGGGGGCGCCCCCTGGCTTCTATCCGTAGGTGGTGGAAGACGGGGAACCAGCAAAGGAGGTTAGGGAGGGACCGCAAGGAAGAACAACCAGATATGGCGGCACCCTCGAGGCCAGAGGAAGAGGGATAGTCAACTGTGTCCATGCTGTAAGCAGATCAATGATGAGAAGACTGAGCCCGCCACTGAATTCCACGTGATGGGAGCCACTGGAGACCTTGACAGAGGCGGTGGGAGAATGAGGGGTGACCGCCTCTTTGGAGCAGTTTAAAGAGAAAGGAATGAGGGGTTCCTGAGAGTAAGCACAGGCTACTCTTTTAAGATCCCTTTCTACAAGAGAGAGCAGAGAAGCAGCGGGTCGTATCTGGCAGAGGACGTGTCAAAGGAAGGTTTTGTTCTTGTTTGTGTTAAGATGGGAGAGATCCCATAGAGAGAGGACTCAGATGATACAGGAGAGAGAGGCTCAGCTTGGTCAAATACCCACCAGGTTCAATCAATAGAAAAATGAAATCACATCGACTGTGACCTTGTGATGGGGGCCGGGGGCAGTTTCCATGAAAAGCATGTCAGACAACCCCGCAGGTGGCCTTTACAGAGAGCGCCATTTCTGGGCTCCTTGCTGTGAGCTTCCTCCGCCTACTTCGCCTACTTCGGAGGAGCACACTCCTACCCCGTTCACAGGCGGGCAGCTGAGCATTGAAGCAGGGACCGAGCTCAGAGGCCCAGACAGGCCGGTGGCAAAGCTCCAATCCAGGGCTGCCGAACATCAAGGGGCTGTGTCTCCACACACCTGCCTTCCTCCTCGGGCTCCTTGAGGAAGGAGACGCCTCCCAGGCCCCCAGTGGTCTCCTTACTTCAGGTTCGCCCGTGAGAGATGGGTGTTCTGAGCCAGACACTGTCAACGGACAATGTTGTCAGCAAAACTTCAGGAATGTTCGAACAAGAAGAAATAAGACAAGTGTTCCTCTTCATTTCTTTATTAATGAGTTGAGATACACAAAGACTTAATAAAAAGTTACATAAAAGGCTCACGCATCGTCGAGATCTCCAGGCATCGCTCTCGTCTCACGACAACGGCCACCTGTTAATACTGCGTAACAGAAGCGGGGCGCGCACGGGCGCTCCGATATTCAAGTATCTTTCGTTCTCAGTAAACCGACATGGGATTTCTAATCCAAAGGGCTGCAAATGGAGGCAGCCCGTCTATGGCTCTGGGTTGACTGTCGTCACACGTGAATGTCCTTTGAGCTAGAGCTGCCACGTTATCGAGACAGGCCACCAGCACGCTCCACAGCGAGGTGGGAGGCAAAGTCCTAAGAAAAACCATCCAAATGCCCCCTGCGTGGCAAAGTGCGGGGGGAAGTCCGTGGCCGGGCCCCAGGCGGTGGGGGTGGGAGAGCGGCCAGGATTACCAGCGGGGGAGAAAGGAGCCCTTGCAGGGGGAGGGTGTCGATTTTAGAAGGAAGGCTGAGAGCACACAGTGGTGAAGGCATGGGGTGGGGGCTTCAGGAAGGGTGTGCTCAGGGGCTGTGCTATTCAGCTCGTCTGGAAAAACAGTGGGAACACCAGGATGTCACAAAAGACACAAGTCCCGTTGGGCTCCTCAGTCACCGACCGGGTAGCAGGGCCAGCTGGTTCCAAGACGGACCTGCCAGGGGGCCGTGGAGAAAATGTGCTGGGGCTGCCCCAGGGCACATGCCACTCTGGCCTATCTGGCAGCCTTCGTGGCCAGGAGGGCTCACGGTTCTCTCCAACCCAAAGACCTGTCTTTTAAAAGTGTTATTTACCCATCGCACCTGGAGGAAAAGGAGGTCATGGGAGATGGAGGCTGACCACTGGCTCCACGGCAGAGGCCACGGAGGCCATCCCTGACCCAGGTTCCCTCTCGGGCACTGAGGAGTGGAGCTGGGGGCTGGGTGCAGGATGGATGCCCTAAAAGATGGGGCCAGGCAGGGCAGATGCACTGCCCATTGGGCGGGAGGCCCGGGAGCGGTTGGAACCCCCTTGTCTGTTATCTTCACAGCCAAGGGCTTCAGTCTAGGTCAGCTTATCTGCTTCCGAGACTGTCCACATAGTGCTCAGGGCGTTGCAGGCTCCCCCGTGGGCAGGTGCACTGGTGGTGGTCCGTGTCCGGGAGATGTTTACCGACGGTGGACACTGCCCCATGTGCAGGGCCCCTGGTCCCATGCCACCGCTGCCTCGATACAAACATCTCCGCCCGACTTCCTGCCACCGGCCTTGCCTCGCCCTCACCAGCCTGCGGCTGCCACCACAGGGCACACGGGCCATGGCTCAGGGGAGCATACGGGTTGGAAAGAGCCTGGTCCTGTTAGTGTTTAAGATGCCCATTCATTAGCAGGATAGGTTCTTGGGGAGCTGTGAGGTGCCTGATCTGGAATGTTCTTTATTATCCTTTCTTTTAGGGTCAGAAAAGAAAGGGCCATTTAGACACATAAAGAAGTTTGACTTCCAACTAACAAAACTCTCGGCTGTTTCCTTCTGCAGCAGGTCCCTCCGGGCTGGCCCCTCGGTGCTCCCTCAGAGCTGGAGAAGGGTCCGGCGTCCCGATGTCCAGCCGGGCACTCGCTCTCCCTGGTCCTTTCTCCAAACAGTGGCCAGGCCACCTGCGAGGGGTGCTCCAGTTTGCCCAGTGACCCGATTGGTAACATTTGGAAAATAAGGTCACAAGGTGCGCCACTTCATCTCTGACCTCCGCTCAGGGGTCATGCCGTGCCTGCTGCCCCTGCCCCCCTCCACCCCGGCCCCCAAATCCAGTCTTGGGCTCTCACCAGCAGCACTGAGGGGGAGGGGGACATCACCAGGGAGGTGGGGGACTGCCCCCTCGTAGAAACAGGGGTGTGGGAGCGATGTCTTCACCTCAACCTTCCTTTCTCTTCTGATCACATGTTACAGTTAAGATCTGAGAGGTTAACACAAGCCTTGTCAGTATGAGCCAGGAAGGCGGCCTAATGCTGACTCTGCAAAGGATTCACTGGGCTTCAGGAGTGGTCGTCAGCTGATTCAGAGGGAACACGGTTTCGGGCGTTGGTGCTGTTTAGGTAACAACAGTATTGGATCACTTCTGCGTCAGGTTCAGCACAAACCAGAATCCCTGGATGGTGCCCCGATGAGCGCACAGTGGCGTAGAGAAGCATGCAGGCCTTGTCAGTGTGTCTGTGACGGAGAGCTGTGGGCCGCACAGGCCAGTGGGGACAGACTGAGCCCCGGCCGACGGGGAAAGACACGAACACTCGGGCAGATCTGTGCCCTTGAGTCTCTACATCTCCAGGATCACGAAACCCCTTTTAGAACTGGCAAGCTTGCCCTGACCGGTTTGGCTCAGTGGATAGAGCGGCAGCCTGCGGACTGAAGGGTCCCAGGTTCGATTCCGGTCAAGGGCATGTACCTTGGTTGCAGGCACATCCCCAGTAGGGGGCGTGCAGGAGGCAGCTGATCGATGTTTCTCTCTCATCGATGTTTCTAACTCTCTATCCCTCTCCCTCCCTCTCTGTAAAAAAAATCAATAAAATATATATATTAAAAAAAAAAAAGAGCTGGCAAGCTCGCGCCAGCCTCTCCCCTCAGCAAAATGAGATTCTGTTTCCTGATATCGGCCATGAAACCCTCCTGCTGGCTCCCATTTTCAGGCCACGAGCAGGGACTGCTGCCCCTGAGGCCTCCCAGTCACTGTCCCTCATAGTGAGGTGAGTTTGGCACTGCCGGGAAAACTCAGCGAAAAACAACCACGATGTTCCGGACGTGTTGTCAGGGATCTGCTGAAGGGTGAAACTCCCCCAGACAGCGGGCACAGACCCCCTCGAGACAACAGTGATCACTAAAATAATTTAAAAACCGACAAAAGACGCCCAAGCTCAGACACCGAGGACTGGAGACAAGCGGGAGCTGGGTCATGGCTTGTTTCGTACTCTGTACGTGGTGGGTAAACGTCCACATCGAACCGACACTACGCAGTTCAAAGAAACAACACAGCCGCCAGGAGACGGGAGGAGCCGGCTGAATCACACGCGGGGCTCGGATGCTGTGCCTTGTGAGACCCGAAGCCTGTGCCCTTTCGAGGAAGCTGCACCCCCTTTCCTCCCTGCCCACCCCCCCTATCTCCCTTCCTGCGCCCAGTCCTCGGGTCAAGGGTCATGGTTAGAAACAGTTCCCGGTGAGGTTAGGCAGTGGAGGGGTCCCGAGGGCTGGCCAGTTCACGGTGACTGTGCCCAGGGCCCCAGGCCCATCACAATATCACACACTGAAGTTTGTGGGTACCAGTGGCCCGGTCTCCCCGCCATTTGGTTTTCTTCTTCTTCTTCTGGCTCTTTTCTGGAATCTGTTGCCTTTTGAGACAATGAAAGGCAGAAAGTCAACGTCAGAATGGGCTTTGCTTCTCCCTGTGCCTTCCCTCCCTTGGCCCTGGGTCTGAGGCAGGGAGGCTGGGGTTAGGGGTGGGGGGTGGGAGTGGCAGAGATGCTGCTGTCCTAGGTGCTGAAGGAGGGCGTGGCCTGGACAGTGTCTCATCCTACTGCTGAGAACTGCTGCCATCATGCTGTGGCCACATCGATTTAAATCATACTCTACGTTATGTGTTATATAATGTTCCCCTCTATTTCCATGTTTCATATTTTAAATAAAATGACAGGTCAGCTGAGTACGAGCTTTATACATGTTTTCTGTTCATAGTTCCTGTGTCTAAAACCTCTCCTGGGAACTACAGGTCTGTAACCAAAACTTCGCCACCTCCTGGTGATAGCATATCCTAACTGGAGGCAAAATGCCCTCGAGGAAAATAATTTCGAGACTGCAGAGATGCAGCCTGCAACGCCACAGCCGGAGTGCGCGTGCGTGTGTGTGTCTGTGTATGTGTTTCTGTGTGTGTGTGTCTGTGTGTGTTTCTGTGTGTGTGTGTGTGTGTGTGTGTGTGTCTGCCTGCCTGTTTGCTGTGCTGGGGGCTGAGGGTGGCGGCCAGGAAGGACACCGTTAGAGCCCTGTATGTGGTTTCACACCTAACTTGAAGACTTTGGAAATGGGAAAGGTGGGTGACAGGGAGACCAGCCGGGAGGCTGTGTCAGGCTCCTCAGCACCAGGTGACTGCGGAGGAATGTATGAGAGGCTACTGATTGGGGTTTCTGACAATCCTGTAGGCGGACTGCGTGTGGGGTCTGCAAAGGGACACATGCTCAACACCCCCTGAGCTTTGAGCCTGGGAGTCAGAATGCTGGGCGTTCAGGTGAAATGTCAAAGGACAGCTGGGGTGCTGGGGGGACACGGAGGGCAGGATGGAGGGAGCTGCCCCAGGGAGGCCACGCTGCAGGACCCAGGGGAACCCCGAGAGGAGCCGGAGCCTCAGGCAGCAGGCACCTCCCGTCAGCTAGTGAAGCTTCACTCAGAGACAGTGGGGTGAGCAAAGGGAGGTGGGAAGAGGGGCGGGTGAAGAAATCTAAAAACAGGCCCAAAGTGCCCAGCCTCCCCTCAGAGCCGGCCCTCCTGGTGCCCACCTTGCCCAGGGGCCCTGTTCCTAGGGCGGGCCCCGCGCTCACCTGATCACTCTGACCAGGTCATGGAAGGCTTTGTCCACGTTGAGAGGGGGGTCCTTGGCACTGGTTTCTATGTATGGGATCTGGAAGGCAAAGCTCCCTCTCGGTGAAAGGGGCACTGAGGCCACATGCGTTCTCAGGGGCCCTGGGAGCCGGATGCTTTCAAAGCCCCGCAGAACCCTGGCCCGACACCCCCAAGTCCCGTGGTGGCTTCTCCCTCTGCAAGTTCCACTGACAGTTTTTCCAATTCCCTCTTGCTCTCCAGCCACAGAGATATTTAATAGCTCCTTAAAAATAGAATTCACGTGACCGTTTTCTATACCGGAAGACTAAAGACTTTCATTTATCAAACTAAAATACGCGCTGATTCTACTCGTTTTTCATCCCGAGTCTATTTCTCTACCCGGGCACTTCCGCTCCTCTTCCCAGGGCCCTGAGAGGACGCGGGCGGGCAAGCCCAAGGCCAGGCTGCCCCACAGCCAGGACTGCGCACCCTCAAACTGAGGAGATCTAAAGCCACGCTCCTCGTCTCCCCACACACTTGCTCCTGGAGCCTCCCCCGGCCCAGTGACGGTCACTCAGTGTTCTGAAAGTGACTCAGCCCCACACCTTGCAGTCACCCCCATTCCTTTCCTTCGCTCTCTCCTCACATCCAATCTGTGAACCAACTCTGTTGTCTCTCTTAGAAATACACCCAGAACGCATCCACTGCTCGCCACCGTCGTGCGCCCCACTGGCCCACGTCGGCCTGCCCTGGGTTATTGCCGCAGTCCCACCCCGGCCCCCACAGACCATTCTCAACACGGCCACTGGGCGAAGCTGCTCAGCCATGATCAGACAACGTCACTCCTCACTCACAACCCTCCACGGCTTCCCCTCTCGCTCTGAGTGAAAGTCCACAGGCCTTAAACCATCTCTCTGACCTCACGCTGCTACTCACCCCTCCTGCTCCTGCTCCTGCTCCAGCCACACAGGCCTCCTGCTGTTCCTCTTGTTCCTCAAACTCCCGCCTCAGAGCCTCTGCGCCGATGACTCCCTCTGCTGGAACCTCTTTCCTGACACCCGCAGGGCTCAGTCCCTCGCCTCCTGTGAGTCCTGGCTGACATGCACCCTCCCAGCAAGGCCTTCCCTGCCACCTATTTGGAAAAGCACCCACTGCACCCCACAGTCCCAACCCTCTTCCCCGATTTACTTTTTCCCCAGCACATGTCACCTTCTGACCCCCTCGAACCTGCTGTGTCTGTTTGTCTGCTGTCACCAGAAGGAAAGGAGTTGTGTTTCCCGGCCTAGGGGTGCTGAATGAATATGAGCATGAACACAGAAAGCAGAGACAAGCAGAACGACCTCGCAGTGAGTCCCCTTCCTCTGCTCACAGAGCTGGGCCCACGGGGCAGAGGGCCCGGGCAGCCGCTATTTCTACTGACCTCCAGGCAGTCAGGGCAGACTTCTACATGCCTGGCCAATGAGGCTGGGGCAGGGGCTGTGCCGATGCAGGGGAGAGGCCGGAAGCGTCCAGTGGCCTCACCCAGCACCACCCAGCACCACCCAGCCGGCAAAGGGGTGTCACCAAGAACTAACCACGCATAGCATGTCTGCTGACACTGTGGCCTGGGCGGACCTCAGGGTGAGTCCCTGGGAGAAGGAGATCATCGAATCCACCTCAGTGTGTGGCTGTGAGGGTGCCCCCAGCACAGCGCCTGGCAGCTGACCCGAGGAGTCTGAGCGTCATCAGGCAACCGGCCCGGAGACAGGGACAGAGCCTGCCCTCGGCACAGCCCAGCGATGCTCTGCTGAGTCAGGGCGGGAGGTGCTGTGCCCGCAGCTTGCAGTCCATTGTGAGGGCACCTGCTCCCCACATGAGGGCCTCTAATGACTGACACGAGGGTCCTTTCTCTCTGGCCCGTTGTTCTGTTTCACAAAATATCCCACCATCGCATTTGCCCGCCAAGCTTCCCCGTGGAACCCAGCCCACTACCAGCGAGGCTCACGTTCCATCCACACAGACCAGGACGGCAGGAGTGACTTTTACACACCCCCTGGCACCCCCAACACACACACACACACACACACACACACACACACGCAACTTACATTGTGTTTGGTCGCCATTTCTTTTCCTTGCTCCCTGGTGATTTTCCTCAAATGCATCAAATCGACCTTGTTGGCCACGAGGATCATCGGGAACGACTCCCTGGGAAACAAGGAACAGCAGCTTGTGAGGTCTCGCTGTCCCCACCCCCCTGAAGGCAGCGTAGCCACACCTCAGGCCTCACACAGCACACAGACCTCCGGGAAGGGAGAGGGGCCCGAGGCTGCTGCCTGCCCTGGTTTGCAGGCTTAGGCCTGTTCCAAGGTGAGTGAGGGGCCCTCCAGGGAACCCCTGGTTCAGCACTAAGTGAGGACACGGAGGGGCCCCTGGGCCAGGGGCGGGGTTCCCAGACCTGCTTCCTACCACCTCCGGCCCCCCAGATGCACCCACCGTGCCGGCTGCCGTGGCCGTCGGCAGTGACTCGTGAGGAGCGCCAGGGCCACGGTGGGCCGGACAGTTGGCCCTCAATGAATGGCGGCTGCAGAATCGGGATGGCTCCCAGGAGGAGGCGGGGTCAAGGGCATGTCTGCCTTAGAGACGCCCACTGACACATGTGGCCCAACACGGTCCACAGTGAGTAAACGCCCGGCTCACAGCAGCTGTCAGCGCTGGCTACTTCTACTAAGAAAATCATAATCGGGCAGGTGGAAACGGAACTTGATGATATTTCCTTGCACCTCTTTAACAGCTAGAAGGTTGAGTATTTACCCACATCCGAGTCATTTATGTTTTCTCTTTTGAGATTGCTATGGTCAGGGTTTTAACCCACATTTCTCTCTTAGAGGTTTGTGTGTGAGAGTGTGTGTGTGTGTGTGTGTGTGTGTGAGAGAGAGAGGGGGGTGGGAAAGAGAGAGAGAGAGAACTGTGTATCCCTTTACCTTGTAAAGTTATTAACATTTTGCCTTTGGAATAGGTGTTAACTGAATTTTGGGAATTTACTGAGATTTGCTCAAAGTTTGCCCTTTTACTTTCTTTACATTGCCTCTTTAAGATGCAATTAACTGGAAAAAAAAACAATCAGGCTTAAAACAGACTCCAAATTATTTAGCTACTCCATATGAGCTAAGGGGGGAAAAAGAGCCTTTAATTGGGGGGCTCGCATTCAAATGCAATTTAACCAATTACAATGTAATCTGGAGAAAAAATCCACGTTTTCTTTGTAATAAAACATCGGTTAAATTGGAACAGTCTGACCCCATAGAAAGAACCAGGGTAGGAGTCGGACAGAACAAGGTCTGAATTCAGCTCTGCCCCTCGTGCCTTAGCTTTCACCTGAAAATCAGAGGGATTCAGACAGACAGACAGACAGACAGACAGGAAGACAGAGGCTGCTGGGAGCCAGGAGCGGGGAGCCCGCCCGCTGTGCCCACCTGTCCTTGACGCGCAGGATGAGCTGGTGGAAGCGGTCCACGTGCTCGAAGCTGGCCTTGTCCGTGACCGAGAAGACGATGAGGAAGCCGTCCCCCGTGCGCATGTACTGCTCCCGCATGGCACTGAACTCCTCCTGCCCGGCCGTGTCCAGAACTGGGGTGAAATGGGCCAGTCAGGGTTGTCACCAGCCACCCAGAGCCCCCCGCAGCCTGCAGACCCCACGCTCTGCTGCCCCCTCAGTGGCTCAATCCCAACTGTTCCCCTGAGAGCCACACAGGCCCCTGGGCTGGGCTGTGGGGGTCCTGGTGGGGCCTCAGACACCTCAGTGTGAGGCTCTAATTGACTTGCTTATGGTCCCACAGATCCCAACCCATGGTGCTCCCCGGGCCTTGGTTCTTGGTCTACAGAAAGGCCTGTGATCAGCTGGGCTTCCAAGTCCCTCTGGCCCGGGCATGGCTCCCCTCTGCGCCCTCCCACAGGGGTTCTTGGGGAGTCATCTGACTCAGCTCCTTCCCTCCTCTGTAAGTGGAAACAGTGCACCTGCTGGCAGCCCCCAGGGGCGGGGGGGCAGCTTGTTTGTGGATGTGCCCGGGGAGAGCCCGACGGGGCCACCTGGGTTAGGAGGCTCCTCAGCCGTGTGGACAGATACCAGGGGGGCCCAGGGGAAGGAGTGGTCCCTCAAGAGCCAGGGCCATTTGCCTCCTAGGACGAGGATGTTAGAGGGGTGCTGGTGGGGGGAGCCAGGGCTAGAAGAGGAGTGGGGAGCTGGGAGAGCCATCTCAGCAAAGGATTCCTCCCAACCGTCCCCTCTCACTGCCCAAGTCACAAATCTAAGAGGAGACATTTAATCCCGTCCTTGAAGGAAGAATAGAAGTCAGGGACATTTAATGTTGCCATATATATCTATATCTATATCTATATCTATATCTATATCTATATCTATATCTATATCTATATCTCTCCAGATTTTTAAACACAGAAACTGACAAACTCCATAATCATTGTGGGAGAATTGAATGGGCTTCCCTTAGAGATGGACAAGAGACAGAGAGAACACACTTTACACTCAAACAGGAAACAAGTATTTCAAATACATATGAAATCATCACCAAAATTGGCCATATGTTAGCCTATAAATAAAAATTTCAACCAATCCCAGAAATCAGAAATCATGTGAGCCATCTTTTGCCTATAATACAATAAGATCATAAGTCAACAGGAACATGGGTATAAAAGAATCTAGTCACTTGAAAGTTTAAAAAGCTATGCCACTCTCTAACTCTCCAGTTAAAGGAAAAAGCAAATCAGAAGTTACAAACTATTTAGACCTGAACAACAATAAACAGTAATAAAACCTCTGGCATGAGGCAAAGTGACACTCAGAGAAAAAGGCAGCTTGCAATGCACTTTTGAAAACAAGAAAGACTGAAAATTAAGTAAGCATTCAAATCAAGAGGCTTGAGAAGGAAAATAAATAAAACAAACTAAAAGTAGAAATTTAGAGAATGGGAGAAAGGAAAAAGTATTGATATCAATAAATTGAAAGCTGATTCTTTGAAATGACCAATTAAAAAAAAAACACACCAAAAACCTTTACTAATTCTTATCAGAGAAAAAAATGAGAAGACAAATAAGCATTTGGAATGAGAAAAGGCCTATGACTATGAGCAGAGATATATATTTAATTATGAAAGAAAACTATATGCAGTTTTATAGCAATCAATTTTCAATTCTCAATTAAATGGATGATTTAAGAAAATATAAATGAGCAAAATTGGTTCTAGAAAATATATAAAACCTGAGTAGGCCAATAATCAGTGATGAAGTTGATGAGATAAAATCTTACCCCACGAATGGCACAAAGCTATTCTTGTAACCCACCAATCGTTCCGGAGCACGGGAAATAGAGGACCTTTCTCACTCGGTGTAAGAGCCCAGCATAATCCCGACACACTGGACGGGGACAACACATGGGTGTGTGGTGACTGCCAGGCCCGCCCAGTGTCGGGGAGAGAAGCAACCTGCCTGTGGCACCCTAAGGGGTATCAGCCATCCATTTGTCAATTGTTTGCTAAGTACCTACTCTGTGCCAACCGTTCTGTGCGGTCCTTCGGGTGATTAAAGACTAAGATGCATCTGGCTATCAAGCTCCGTAACAGTCCAGTCGGACTGAAGAAAAATCAGAATATGAAACAGAAAGTGATACATGCTATGGGCGATGGGGAGGGGGGATGTTCTCTTCAGCTTAGAAGGATAATGGAAGGTTTCAGCAAGAGGAGACATTTAAGCCTGTCCTTGAAGGAAGAATAAAAGTGAGGGACACTTAATCCTGCCCTTGAAGGATGAACAGACTTTGACATGAAAAGATGGGGCCTGGGGAAAGGTCTTCCAGGCAGAGAAACAGCCTGAGCAAGGGCCTGGGAGCTGGAAAAAGGGAGAGCAGTGAGGAGGCGGGGGTGCAGTGTAAAAGGTTTGTGTGTGTGTGTGGTGGGGGGAATAGGAGGTAGAAAGAGGAGACAGGGAGACCACAGGCTGGGGTCCTTGGGTCCTAAACGAATGTGCTCGAACTCTCTGGGCACTGGGGAGCTACTGAAGGTTCAGAGAAGGGAGAGATATAGTCAGAGTTTGGCAGCCAAAGAGAGACAGCCATCGAGGCAGGGAGGCCTCTGAGGAGGTGGAGGAAGGACCCGGGCAGAGGCAACCAATCAGAGGGCTGCTGGA